AATGGTAAAGTCAATATTGACTTAGCTTATTCATGTATTTTTCGAATTCTTTTGAAATTGTTTTTTTTTCTGTGTATTTTCTTTAGGCGTGAGTAGGACTGGATTTCTCTGGAATTCTATATGTTAAAATTATATTTTTCTCTAAAAGATAGTTTATTATTTTGTATAATTTTTAATTTTTTGTAACTATGTTAAAATGATTCAATTTTGTTAATTTTTTTAACATGTTTGAATATTTAGAACAATAAATTATATATGATAATAAACTAAAATAGAATACAATAGAAATATGTAAAAGTAAAAGATTTAATAATCAAATTAATAATTTCATTTGCATATTGTCCCAAAAATTCAACACATTATTTAACTAATATAAATAATTAACATTAGCTTCATTTTGAAGTTTTTTTTTATTATTAATTTACTAAGGAATATAAAATTTTAATCGTTTTGGAGCAATCAATTTTATTCTTCATAATTTGGTAAAGTATAACACAATTTAAGGATTTAATTTTGTGAGTCATTTAAAAAGTAAAAGATAATAATTTATATATGTCTATTCAAATAACGTATAACATTACATACAAACATTATAATATTAAAATTTCAGTTATTTTGAGGTTAATCTGATTGAAAAAGTTTATACCCTCATGATTTTAATCTAGCAGTCTATTCAAAGAAATGATTATAAGGAATGATATTTAATATCTTTATATGGTATATGATCTTTTAGAGCTTTAAAAATTTAGTTATTTCATTTTTAAGGGATTTGGGCAGCGAATATCCAATTTTCTGGCTCATTTAAAGCGATGATTATAAGAAATCAAAAAAATATTAAAATAAGATTACAAAATTTCTATAATGTAGATGCATCTATTCAAATCTATTAAATGTCATGGTTATTTAAATATTTTAAGTTAAAATCGAGTTATCATGACTTTTTCACAAATCAAATAGTAATCAGAATCTGAATATTATTAACTTCCCGTAGGGCAAGTTATAGTAATCGCAAAAAAATCGAAAATGAAAATTTTTATATATCTTTACGTTTCAAAGGTTTCTGAACATTTTGGCATACCTTAGAAAAAATGGATGTATGTGTGTGTGTGTATGTGTGTGTGTATGTGTGTGTGTATGTATGTACGTGTGTGTATGTATGTGCGGATACAAATTTTCGTCGACGATTTCGGGAACACGGATCAACCGATTTGAATAATTCAAAAAACATTCGATTCGTATTGATAAGGAGACGTGCTGATTAGTTTTTGGCGAAGGCAGGTCTAGCCGTTCCGAAGATACGGGGCAAAAAGTGCCGAAAACGGTAGCTCAGTTTTTAAGAGAACGGAGCGTCCGATTTGAATAATTCAAAAAACATTTTACTTGTATTGAAATTTTCATGAAGGTAGGTCTAGCGGTTTTGGAGATATAGAGGAAAAAGTAAAAAAATGAGCCATTTGGCGGTCAAAAATGATCATTAGACATATGTACATCAAATTATCAGATATTTTATAGAGATTTTAACAATAAGTATACATTTTGTTAACATTCCTATGGGTTCCGTACCGATGCTTATGCGTTAGACAGCGACGCGGCGCTTACGCGCTTTATATTTTGTCCCTATGCAGTTAAAGCAGTACGATTTCTTTGAAAAAAAGTTCAGATCTTTCACAATATGTCAAAATAAAAAAAAATTTTTTTTTCAAAAAAAAAAAATTAAATTTTTTTTTTTTTTTAAAAAAAATTTTTTTTCAAAAAAAAGTATTTTTTTGTCCAATTTATAGTTTCTCAAAAATCTTATTTTTTCAAAGTAATTTTTTTTTCAAAAATGTTAATCGTTTTTAAAAAAATAATCATTTTTGGTACGGGAAGTTCCAGCAATTTGCCTTAAGGCACGATGCCTTAATTGCCTTAAGACAGAATTCCACATACAGCTAGTATTCTAATGGGATCCTCTCAAAATGTTTGGTTTCATAAATATGGATTGTTTAGGAAACTCTCCAATGAGAGCTCTAATTACTTACAGTTTATCTATAGTTTGTTTTTTCTTGAATGACATAACATTTAGGATAAATGTCCAATTATCATTTTATTGATTTTGTCCAGCCCTGGTTATAACTATTTCACCTAATATGAATGTTGATTGTTCAAGAATGGTAGGTAATCGTCTTGGACTGGACTTACGGCCGAGTAATATTTCATCGTTAGTCGTCTGTAGGGCAGCGCGGTCTTCTTGACACACTCAATGCCAAGACACTTTTAACTGGAACTAACTCGATCTTTACTTACGATATATTGAATTATGTTCTTTAATTTTTAAATACACACTTAAACAATATTACTCATTTCTTCAAATAAACCACGAATTTAAAAGTTTTAGCTATCAAATATATTTACAGAATTACAGAAGGTGCTATCGCAGGATAGGTATCCTTCACAAGCTGTCATATCAAATTATCAAATTATCGATTTAGTAAAAGTAGCTGAATGTACTTATTGTATACTGTGCTAGGCAAAATAAAACAAAACAAAAAATATATATATTTGATAATATGTCTTTTAAATGAGCCCAATAGTACTGAGTTTGTTGCCCAATACTCTTATGGGTAGAGTATTGAAATAACTATATGTTTGAAGATTTAAATAAATATCAATAGACATTAAATATCATTTCTCATAATATTTTTTCTAATGTTTTCATAATATTTTTTCTAATCTATTTTTTCTAGATTTACCCTCAAAATAGCTCGGTTTTTGTTAGTAAAAGTATATTTACGAAAGTACACGTTATTGAATTTGCCAAAATACGTGAAATTTCTCATAATCATTTTTGTATATTATTCACGAAAATAAAAACTTGTAACATTAAAATTGTTTTACTGGGTGTTATCTCAAAATGAAACGAATAACCTGAAAATAATATAAATTCCTTATTTTATAATTGACATACAAAATTAAACTTGAAGTCGAACACGTTTTTGACTTGGTATTATCTTCAAATAACGATCTTTATACTTTAATATTTAAATAACCATCTATATAAGATTCTTTATATATTTTTTAATTTTTTTGATTGCTTATAATCACTTTTTAAATTAAGTATGAAATTAAGAGCTTTTGATTTTTTCTCGATTTTTACTTACAATATGTGTTTTATATCATCATAAATCTTTAAAATAACATATTCTTATTCAACAATCAAAATTCAACTTCTCTTATATTTATTTCTTCGGGAGTCATTTGTCTATTAATCCAATTTTATTAGCGCAATAAAATAATAAGCAATTACTTATATTGAAATCAGCAGAAGGAAATGCGTTAAAATGCTTGCGTTCGTAGAAATGTGTGGGTCATATTGTATAATATCCAAATATTATATAATACTTACATACACAAATAGAAACTAATTTTATGCATAAACTAATAGATTTTTTTTAATAATTTTTAGTAATCTTCGTAAAATTTTTACTCTAAAAAATACAGTTAATCTTTTAAAATTTGGTTTAAAAACACCAATTCCAAATTCAACATCTAAGAAGTACAAATTTTAAAATAGACATATAGTAAAAAAAACAGAGCGCAAAAATATATCTTGAACGTTCAAAATTTTGGCAAATATTGTGCAAATCACTTTCACAACTTGATGTGTTTTGTTAATTATTGATTGAATAAAACCAGATAGTAATATGAAAATTTAAACATGGCTGATTTCTAAGAAGATCTGAATTCATACATTTTCCAAACACTGCTAAAAACAGACATAACAAGAACACATGTAGGATGATTCATGCTTTGCAAGTGACCTTATAGAAAACTTGAACTGTAGCAATTATTCCAAATACCATCTCATCTAGATTAATGAAGATTCCCATGTAATCGTTAAATGAATTTAATTACGTAAGTGACTTCTTGAACTCATTTATTGCACCTACATATTGGGAAGATTAGAAGTCATCAACTGAATATATGCCAGATGACAAATATTAATAAAATACTTCTACATGGCAGTTAAAGTTTGGAATAAGAAAATTTTTCACAAAACATGCCATGACAAACTATATCTTGATCCTGGCACTTGCTCCTAAATTAACTAAATATTGTTAGTCTTGTAATTTTTGTTCTTTTAAAATATTGCTATGTACAATTAGGGTTGTCCTTAATATGAATGTTTTTGCTGCTCTCAGGAATAAATGATTAAAAAATTTTTTCTTAATGTTTTAGCTCTTAATAATAACTCTAACATATCCCGTACTCCAATCAGAGTTTCTTCGTTTTTCTTCCTATGTAAATTCTTATTTTATGAAATTTATCAAATTTTTATTGTATTTTTTTTATTTATGATTGAAATAAGTAAATACAATGTTATTCTCAAAATTTTGATTTACTTGTCGCTGGAATTTTACCCATGTTATTTCCATAGAAACTTTGGTTAGAGTGTGAACTATCTTAAAGTTAATATTAAGAGTTTTAGAGAATTTTTTTAACAATTTGGAAGCATTTAAGCCCAGGGAGCAAGGAAATTCGAAAACATTCATATTAATGTACATGTATGTAAATTCATCGCAGATACAGAAAAGATTCAAATTATTGCTTGAAAAAATCTTCTACTCGTTGATACAAGAATTAGTTTTGACTTAGATATAATTAGCCGGACAAAGAATGTGTATTCAGATTGGTGTTTTATCGTATATTATCACTCGTATGCTTTTAAATCCGCCTAATTTATTTTATCACATTTGTGAGCATTGTTTTCTCATTTTATTTATTACTAATTATGATCACCTTGAATCTACTATCATGAATTCACTACTAAGGTAGTATCGAAATTATATGAACCCATGCAATATGAACCAGGACCAGAAACAAGTACAATCTGTATTATATTTAAAAATCGAACTTTTAAGCTGTATATATAACCATTGAACCTCAATCATCCATTGTGCACATTTCTTTTTTATCCTCTGACAATTCTTTAATAATTGCATCTATTCACAGCCGACAACTGGACAAACCCCCGAAAAGCCAGCTGCCGCTCAGCCGGCTGCCGTGAAATTCGGATGGATCCAAGGAGTCCTAATGCGATGTCTTCTCAACATCTGGGGTGTAATGTTGTTCCTTCGGCTTTCATGGGTCGTCGGACAAGCTGGTGTGGGCCAGGCAATGCTTCTAATTCTAACGACTACTGTTGTGACAACTATCACTGCATTGTCTATGTCTGCTATCAGTACCAACGGAGTCATAAAAGGAGGTGAAGATTATAGATACTCGAAAAAAAATGAGATAATCTACCTATCTTAATAATTTTAGTAAAATAGATCAACTTTTTTTGCAATAAATTTAAATCTTAGCAATTGATTAAATTAAGGTGGCTATACTTCCCGGTTTGGCCGTTCCGGATTTCCACCTCGTGTCCCTGGTTTTTCTATCTTCTATTTGTCCCGGATTTATATCTTTTGTCCCGTATTGTCTCAGGTTTTCGAAAAGTATAAGTCTAAATTGATTGTTCGCTCTTGCCTGATAATAAAATTACTACTACCCATCAAATATCTGAAAATGTTATGTACAACTAGTAGGTTTATATGAAAAAGGCGGATTAAAATAGCCTCTCACATTCATAATTTTGAACATTTGATTTTCAATTTTACGAATATTAACAAAAATTAGGCAAATAAACGTCTTGTCTACCTGGAATAATGCAAATGAATTTGCTAATTATTTTTAAATAATCATGAAAAAAAATTAACAAAATTTTCCCATCCCGGATTAGCATAATTTAAAATTACCGTCCTGGTTTTGACTTAAAAAAATATGGTCACCTTGATTAAATATTATGACAACAATGTTAGTAATAACATGACCAGATAATTGTATTTAATCACATTTGTTTTAAAAATAATTAAAATTATGGCAATATCAAACTCGATCAATGATTCTATTGACTTACAACTTAACTATTGTGTATATATTACAACTTAACTATTATATATATTAAATATATTATATGTATATAATTATATATATATATATATATATATATAAATAATTCAATAATGCATAACATCTATCTTAAAACTCATTAACTTATTAAGATTAGTTAGATTTTTGGTATCTTCCACTTCTTCACCAGAATTATTTTTAAAATCGATAGAAATATATTTAAAAAAATACGCATGATCATTACAATGTTTGATGAAAAACTACATTTCTCACCTTTTCATCTTTTTCAGGAGGAACATACTACATGATATCCAGGTCTCTAGGCCCTGAATTTGGGGGTTCCATCGGTCTAATTTTCTCTATGGCAAATGCAGTAGCCTGCGCTATGTATGTCGTGGGTTTCTGTGAAAGTGTTACTGATCTTTTAAAGGCTTTGGGAACAAGTATTGTAGATGGAGGTGTTCAGGATGTACGAATTATTGGCAGTATTACTGTGGTAGTCCTAACAGTCATCGTGGTTGTCGGGATGGAATGGGAAGCAAAGGTAAGAGACAGTTAGTAAATATTTTTTTTGAATAGGACGCTTACCACTTACACTCATTTTTGATAAATCTGTGTATTCTTATTTTGAAATAGTTGGAGTTATGCATTGTAATTTTCCTTTTATTTGCATATTGTTTGCACTTTTTTTTTCTTTTTCCTTTAGGCTCAAGTCGGTCTTCTCGTCATCCTGCTGGTTGCTATCGGTGACTTTATGATTGGAACTTTGGTTGGTCCAAAAAGTGATTCTGAAGTTGCCAAGGGATTTCTTGGATACAATGGTATACATAAAAATTTAGTATAAAATCTAAATTTTGGTTTGGATTTTTAACTATTTTGTTTTTAATTTTCAGCCACTTTGCTGGAACAAAATATGAAGGCAGATTATCGACCGTTTGAAGGTGTAGAACATAACTTTTTCTCAGTTTTTGCCATTTTCTTCCCAGCAGCAACAGGAATATTAGCTGGAGCAAATATTTCTGGTGATCTTAGGGTGAGCTATAAACATCTAAGGACCATTATAAAATATATGTTGTATTATTCAATTTAATTTCAAAGTACGACGCAAATAATTTATTGCAATAATTACCTTTTAACAAATATCAACGTACTTTTCATTAAAACAGAATTAATAATCCTTGACAAGGTAGTAAATACTTAAGTTGACCTCATAGAAATCTATTTAAAATTGAGTTGTAACAATGGCATGTATTTAACAAATTATTAATCACATATATAGTTTCAACATAAATCTTCTTTTGTGGCAGCGTGATTAATACTTTATGTCAAGAAAATCCTTAATGAATGCAATTGATGAAGAATGACGTCTCGTTAATTTTTGAAATAAATGACTTTACGACATTTACGTAATGCGTTTAAAATATATAATTGTATATTAAATAAATTGATGATGTATTAGTTTTATTATCATTTGCAATATAAAATGTATAGAAGTTTTTGTTCTCAATAGATGAAACCTTATTAGAATTTTTGTTTTTTCTAGGATCCGCAAAAATCGATTCCAAAAGGCACATTGTTGGCCATATTCTTGACAACTTTGTCGTATTTAATTATGGCAGTGATGGTCGGCGCCAGCGTTGCAAGGGACGCCACTGGTTCTCTGGAAGATTTGGCCAATGGAACATTTTTGGATTGTGCTAATCGTACTTGCGAATATGGTCTCCAGCATAGTTTCCAGGTAAATTAAAAAAAATAAATTATTATATGCAATCTTTAATAATTCCCCAGTTCCACTGGGGTAAGACTCATATGTATTCATTATAAAACATTTTCAAAATTTATAATTTAATGCAAATATTGATGTCTCTGTTTGCAATACTATATAGAAGTACTATAATCTCAATCAATTAATTAACTAATTGTTACTGTCCTCAGATCGAATCTCCAATTAACTATTTTATTTCAGTATTTGTGTCTCAATTTCAGACATATCATATACTCCCACTTTCGACTTATACGAATTCAACACTAGTATTCCATTAGGCTAATTAAATTGTTTTTTATATTTTTTGTACAATATAATTTGTGGACGGGTTTTCCATCACATTTTATATATCTTTGCTTGTTTTTATTGATGCTTTTTATAACGACTGCTATTTTTTATTGCCGTATATTGAACCATATTAATTTTAATGTCTTTAAATGGATAGGATAAGACACATGCTATTAAACAATCATTAGATATTTTATTTCTAACTAAATAGTCACGTAGATTTTAGTCGTTTTTTTAAATAAGTAGATATAATTATTATAATTATTTTAGCGAATTTTATATCTACTTAATAATTGTATATAAAAAAATTAACACACATGCTTATATCATATTCTTCAGAAATGTAATACATATTAGATACTGAAGTATAATGTAACAAATTACGATAAATCTTCTGATGATTCGTAATTCTAAGAATCAGTGTGCAAATAGGAAAAACCATGATAATAAAGCCGTTTCATTTTCGATATGCAGGTTTATGAGTCCTATAAGTATATATAGATTTAAAGTTAATATTTAATATTTTTATATTTCAAAATTTTGTGATACGATTATAATCTTTGTTAAAGCCAATAGCAAATTCGTTGCTAAATTCTATCAACTTTAGCTATAGTTATTACAGTAGATAAACAAGTATGAATGGTTATTACACATTATTATGCGCACATCGATTTTTATATAAATCTCTTAATATTATCTTGCATTTCGTTTATACGTTTATACGTTTGCATTTCTATTATTATTGAAACCAGTTCTAACAATAAGACAAGACTTTTAAATTGAAATATAATTTCTATGGTATTTTAAGTATAAGCATCATTCTGTATATAACTTTCTTAATATCTCTTACATTAGGATTGCCTTAAATTTGTGTTTGTTTTGTTTAAATTCATAGAACTATTAATCTGATCAATTCTGAAACAAATTCTTTTATTTAAAATATTTTTTTTATTTTATTAACTCTTTGATTAAGATTATTTCATAATAGTAATTGTGCATTCATAAATTAGTTAACCGGGTCATTTCTCTGAAAAATGCTCTCAATTGTAAATATTTTCTGACTTCTTATTCTAGAAACCATTTAAAATATTTTTGATACACATATTCATGAAAACGATCAATTCTCCAGCTCATTCTGTTAACTAAATACCATTTCTCAATGTTTTCAATTTTTCATTTCAGGTTATAGAGTTAGTATCAGGTTTCGGTCCTCTCATTTACGCCGGATGCTTCGCAGCCACACTCTCCTCGGCGCTCGCCTCTTTGGTCTCGGCCCCGAAAGTTTTTCAGGCTTTGTGCAAAGATAGACTTTATCCGAGAATTGAATGGTTTGCCAAAGGATATGGCAAAAATAATGAACCAGTCCGAGGATATGTCCTTACTTTCTTTATAGCTATTTCCTTTATTTTAGTAGGTGAGTGAAACTAGACTCTCAATAATTAATTTTATTTACACATGACAAGGCATCACTACTAAATGACCTGAATTTTGGAACTACCATAAAAATTAAAAAAAACACCATATTCATAATTAATATTTTTTATCAATTATTATGAAAATGTTCAGACTCAAACCAATATAGTTTTATAAAAAATAAGTTAAAGCTTGAAATAATAATTAACTCATATATTTGTTCTGTAGCATGGGATGTGTTTTCAGCTTGTCCTTGTATTTGTTGGATATTATTGGATGATTGTTAAGCTTGTCCATAATTTGTCAATTTTTAATTTGTTATGTTAGATAATTTATTAGACAAATCAAAAACTATTCTGTGCCAAAATTACTTAAATGAGAAATATTTTAATTAAAATCTAGTATAGACTTTTTTCTATGACAAATGCTAGTAAACTGTTTCTTAAGTATCTGAACAACTTGAATAATTTCAGTATATCATGATTGATAAAATATCATCTTATTTACATGGTAGATGGCATTTCTTTAAATAGTTTAGTAAGAAGAATAATTTCAATGTTTTTTTTTATTTTTCAGGTGAATTGAATTTGATAGCTCCACTGATCTCAAACTTCTTTTTGGCGGCTTATACTTTAATCAACTTCAGTACCTTCCATGCAAGTTTAGCTCGTCCTGTCGGATGGAGACCTACATTCAGAGTAATTATTTTTTATTTTGATACTGACGATATGAAAATATTTAGAGATTTAATTTTAAGAGTACAAGCAATTTTTAAAATATTCAAAAATGAACCGTTGACAAAATTTCCTCAAATAGCAATGTTTGAAAAAATAGCAAATATAAGTGTTTTCCTTGGTTTTGTTCCCACGAAAATGATTTATCACTTGCATAATAATTAATAATTATATTTTTGTTCAAATTTTAGTACTATAACATGTGGTTGTCTCTGGCCGGAGCAATCGTCTGTGTCGCTGTGATGTTCTTGATTTCATGGATTACTGCCCTTTTGACATTGTCTGTTGTTTTGGCACTTTATCTAATAGTCAGCTACCGTAAACCAGGTAAATAAGAACAATATTTCTGAGCAATATTTCTAACAGCCAAAGAAAACTTACCCGTAACAAACAAATGGATGTAAAAATATTACTTTAAACTTGACACGATTTATTATTTTTACTTTTTAGTATGCTTTTAAATTTGCTTTTGTAAATTTTATTAAATTTTCATCGTTTTTAAAATAAATATTTACTAGTTACGCTGATAAGTTGTAAGTGTTCTAATTTCTACCAAATCATTAAATTACTAATATGTTAATAGTATATTAATTCTATTTTTTTTCTAGATGTAAACTGGGGTTCTACAACTCAAGCCCAAACCTACAAAAACGCTCTGACATCTGTGCAACAACTGAATAATGTTGAAGAACACGTAAAGAATTATCGTCCGCAAATTTTAGTATTATCTGGAATGCCTGGAGCAAGACCACCTCTAATCGACTTTTCCTATTTGCTTACAAAGAACTTATCACTACTTGTTTGTGGTCACATTTTAAAGGTACATAATAACTCACGAAATTATTATAAAAAAATGTTTAAATTTTATATCGTGATTTTTTTTTAATTTGATCGTTCCTAGGGTCCAATAACGCAGCGCGTTCGTAATGCCCTGACCAGCAAAGCTCATAATTATTTGCGTACACATAAAATAAAAGGATTTTATACCCAAGTTGATGAAACCAATTTTGAATTGGGAGCCAAGGCTCTTTTGCAAGCTAGTGGTATCGGAAAACTTAAACCTAACATTTTGTTGATGGGTTACAAAGGAGATTGGCTGAAATGTCCAAAAGAAGAGCTCAACATGTACTTTGATGTCATGCAGTAAGTAATCTTATTTTAATCAAAGATTTTTTGGTAAATATTTTCACATTTATCAATTATTTTTCCAGTAAAGCTTTGGATATGTACATGGCGGTAGCGATATTGCGCGTTCAGGAAGGTTTGGATTACTCCAAAATTTTAGGCAGCGATGGGGTATCCGACACCACAAGTACAACACCAAGGGATGCCAGTTTTGGTGACTTGACTCGTGCTGCCAATGAAACAAATGGTGAAATGAACGACAGTGTCAAAAATTATAGCCAACAAGTCTCACAGGGTGAGTGAAAAAAAAATTAAATCCACTATTTTATGAGTTATAATGGGAAGTGCATACTTTATTGCAGTTAGTTAAATAAGAAAATTTATTTATTATGAATTGATATTTACTCAATACAAGTTACCTCAGAATAATATCTACTTTAACACCATCATAACGTTGAAATTTTATCTCAGCTTCGATTGAGATAATTTTTGATGATTATTTTACCTTTATTCAAATATTAAATATTTTTTTGATAACTGAGGTTAAACTTGAGAATATTTATTAATTGGCATATAAATCTAATTTGATCTTTCACACGCAGCGGACGATCTATGTAATTACCTAAAAACAGGTACACGTCAGGCGGAAAATAAACTAGTTACTAGACTAAAACCTGGTGAGTCTCTTTAGGAAAACTATTTGTTTTTAGGTGATTTTGCACACTGTGGTATTAACGAGAGGAATTCATTTTTGGGATGTGTGATAATAGGCGTTCTAATGTTATATTTTGTAATATTTAATTTTATTAATCATATTAAAATTCCTTATTTGTATATAAAGACGTCATTTCATAGTACTATTATTGTTATTTTTGTATTGTGTATTGACTAATATCATTAATATTACATTTAATCATATGCTTCTTAAAAATAATCAAATTAATATAAATTAATAAATAACTTTTAATACAAATTCAATTCAATTGTTGCTTGTGCACGTATCATACAGATAATTAACTTGCTTTTTAATCATTTAACAGTCGTATTTTTTATTTATGTATTTTAAAAAACTAAAATAAATAATAGCATTCTTCCCATTTTTAAAGACAGTTTCGCATTTAATTGTATCATTTGCATCTATTTTATCCAATATCAAATCACTCACTTTAATGTGTTGTTACCATATAAAAGAAAAATTAATTAAAATCAAAGATTTATACTTATATTTCTCACAAAAATATAAATCCGCCATTTACATATTCATTTTCGTATCACACTATCTAACTAAAATCATTATCGAAAATTACCGATTTCAAAACTATTTTTAACACGGTGTTATTTTTTATTTCATTTTTTTTTTCATATTTAATAAAAACAAAAACATAATTTATTTTAGCGAGCAGTCTCAGCGATTTATCAACTCCGGCAACACCTCTGAGTCAACCTAGATCCGGTGTCAATTCTTCACCAGATCCTGATGATCCTATGTCAAAGACGACAATGCAATCTTCAAGCAGTCAATCTGATGATAAAGACAGCAAAAAAGAAAGCCGAAGCAAAAGAGAGAAATTGGATTATGCACATTTGTACAAGGGTCCAAATGGAGAAGATTTGCCTAAAGACGTCATAAATCAGTTGACGTTGTTTACGCGGAAACAGAAGAGCGGAACTATTGATGTTTGGTGGTTGTACGATGATGGAGGTAAATTAATAAAAAATTATCTATCTCTCTAACCAATAACGTTTTACATTTATCCCTATCTATTCTCAGGTTTGACTTTACTGCTACCATACATCATCAGTACCAGAAGAACTTGGATGAACTGCAGATTGCGAGTTTTTGCGTTAGCTAACAAGCAAGCAGAATTAGAGTTCGAGCAACGTAGCATGGCATCACTTTTGGCTAAATTCAGGATAGATTACAGTGATCTTTTACTTATGCCAGATATTACTAAGAAGCCTGGAGAGGCAGCTACCAATTTCTTCGAACAGTTGATCTCTGGGTTGACTGTACCTGTCAACAAAGATGACCCTGACAGTGGTAAGGAATGAATAATAATAAGAAGAGAATAGACATTTTATTTTGTAATATTAGCAGAGTAATTTGTGATACTGAGATTTTCGAAAACTGTTATGTTAATTGGAAAAGCTTTGCAATAGGCTTTTATAACTCATCTTTTATCTCCAACTATAAATCTTAATATAGACTTTTTTTGTCAGATCTAAACCCGAATTGAGTAACTAATTTATCTTTGCGTCTATTTTTTCAGCTCCTATTCCTGAAAGCGACTTGACTTCGATGAAAGACAAAACCAATCGCCATTTACGTTTGCGAGAACTCCTTTTGGAACACTCAATGCAGAGCAACCTGGTTGTAATGACTCTTCCAATGCCCAGAAAGAACATTATGACTGCCCCTCTTTACATGGCCTGGTTGGAAGCCTTGACCAAGGATATGCCTCCTTTCCTGCTCGTCCGAGGGAATCAAACCAGCGTCCTCACATTCTACTCGTAATTCCTATTAGTTTGTATGATAAATTTTATTTTTATTATGAATGTGTAAAGCTGGTGAATAATTCTGTCTGGATGATTTATTTTATTTTTCATATATGAATGTTGTTTTAACTGCGATCCAGAACTTGAATTGTATTTTAATCTTGTTCTTTTTATTAATTGTTATGGCATTCCGGGGTTTCTTCATAATGGGTATATTTTTTAAGATATTTTAATATATTTTAATATTTTGTTCATGAATCTCATTACATTATGAAAATAATATTCAGTTTTTAGAAGTTTTTCTAAAATTTTATATGTACAAATTCGTTTTATAAGCTTCAATCGAAGAGAGTAATTTTATTTTAATTGTAAGATAGAATCAAGGTAGATATCTTTATGTTTAAGTAACCGATTGGTGAATAATATAATTTAAGATAAACATAAAAGTACATAATTATTATATATGTACTAATAAAAGTAAACAAATCCCAGTATTTTTGTTATAAGTGATATTAATGCTTACTCAAAAAAAATTATGATTAAATACAAATTGTACGTCTTAAAATTATATTTTTATAATTATTAGATTGTTTAATTATTCAATTAGTTCTATTTTTGTGTCCATGCGATTATTAGTATTAGTATTAACAGAAAATAATTTAAATCACTTTTCTGAGAATATGTTCAAAGAATTTCTTGTTTCATGTTAATTTGATCCATTCTTGTTAAAAATAAAATATATATTTGTAAATAACACTGTGTTACTTAATAATTAATTTTTAAACGTTTTCAATAATATTCGTGATGACAATTTAATAGACAATCGCCAATTTTACAATATATTAAAATTGAATTAAAATTGTTAGTTCGTGATATCGACAAATATTAAACATTTATTAACAGATTATTCTACGAATGCCTGAAATTATAAAATTGTTTTTCCAAAAATTTATTACCTTTGAAATATTACGAATTTCAACATTTTTATTCTTTGCATTTCCAACATTATGTATTGAAATTTTAGAATTCCAGAGATACAATTGAACAATTATTTTATAATACATTGTGTATATAAATTCAATTGTATTATTATGTTATATAAATTGAAAGCATATCTTTAGTGGAAGAATTTAATTATTGTGGAAAAACAATCACTACTTACACTACGGGATATTTAAAATATGTGAGGCATTGGATGTAGCCGATTTTTTGTAAAGTGGTTATACATGTGTGTATGTGCCTGTAATATTTTTATAATTTTGTGCAATTTGTCAGACAGACAGTGCCTTATCGCTGTCGACCACATGGCGTCGGATTCTTGAAATCTATCAAAAATATATTATCAGTGATCATCCCGTAAAGTGGGCGTCGAGCCATATGGCTTTTCGAATTCCATTATGCGAAGTTCTGTTGCATATAATACAAAGTTAGAATAATAATTTCAAATTTATAAAATCAGCCAATTATGTCTATATGAATATTTTTTTGTTCTCATATTTTAACTGCAATCAGAACCTTTCATCCTATTGCTGTTGAAAATTCTCTTTACTTCTTATTTTTAGATGTTAACCCAACGGTTGATGCATTCATAATTAATTATTTTATTATCAGCTGACTTATTGTTCAATTTGACACAATGCCTGGGAAGGGCTATTTTCAGATGGAAACATTTGAAATCTATTTTCAAGTGTAAAATTGATATTGCTACTGCACGGTTTTGGGGTTGGTCCATGACGAGGATTTGATCTGCGATCCGCCTGATCAGATTGAACAGGTTATATATATATATATATATACATATATATATATATATATATATATATCTCAATTCAATTTATAATAATTTATTAGACATTTTTCAAAATATAATGTTTGATTTTCATGTTTTCTTCCACCAAAACTTAATATTTTTGCATAACTATTCTAATGTAATATACCAATGAATTATAAATATTTCAAAATGTAACGTTATATCAAGCAATATCATTCGATAACATAATTAATAATTACTCTGTTTTCTATGAACACGGTTTCAAAGTGAAAACATCTGTAATAACTATTGCCTCCATAAAAATGATTAATTATGCCGAACACGATGTTTTTAACGAATAACAACTGAAAGTTAATAGATTTTTATGGTAATTATCGCGGTAATATATATATTTTCTTCGATGTGATATTAGTGAAGTCGTTTTTGTTTGCACTTTCGTTTTTTTCATTTGCTCTTCATAGAAAAGCTCGTTCTTTGGTAATGATATCGCCGATAGATTTCGCGAATGGCGTGATCAAGTATAAATAGCACTTTTATTGAAAATATTTTGCCTGATAGAATCTTGGATAAAGGAATTTATTAAAAACCAATAGACACTGAGTTATACTAAATAATATTTTTTTGATTTAATATTTTCTTCCACATTAAATGGCCCTATCAATATATACACATACACGTACATGTGTGTGCATTTATATATCTACATCTATTAACACCATCAAATGTATAAAATTATATGCACACATTCGTCGAATCATTTTACTTAATTTACTCGTATAGCTGTAAACTCAATTTTATAAGTGAACTCCATTGTTAAATCAGAATTGCTTAATTCTATAAAAGCCGTTCAGCCCCGTTATGCTAAAACAATGGTTGATCGATCGTAATTCTAAATAATCTCTGGACAGTGTGAAATATAAATTATTTTACATGCTTAACTAACCCGACATTTGAAATCTATAACAATGTATCCATGAAGTGAAAGTCTGCACTTGATAATAATCTTCCTGTTATAATACAAGCGATTTAGGAGAGAATTGCAATTTGTAAAATGAAGTTGCAAAATTGATAAATAGAGTGATTGAATGCTCAAGCAAAGCGTTATAAGGTTGAAGAGAATATTAGGATTTGGATAGCTAAACAAGAAAAATTAGTGACTTGGTAAGAGGATAGATATGATAATTTTTGGTGAACGTATGTATTAATTTAGTATTTTTTATAAGATTATTTTATAGATAGATTTTATAGATATTAGAGGATAGAGTGAGTGGATCTGAATCAGAGGACCCTTGTTCGATTCCGTTTTGAGGAGCCTGATGTCAAGAAATTGTGGCATCGGTTTCCACTTGGAAATATAAAAAAATATTTCCAAGTTTGAAAAGCCTTCATCTGACATTGCTGCATGAATAAAAATATTCGTTTTATTACAGAAATTTTAATTTCTGTTGGGGATGACCTATAGTATTAAATGAAATCAAACTAGCCCAACAACATATAGGGCTCTTAAGTTCTCATTCTGTTCGAAACAACGAAAAAAAATTCAAGGCAGATTTAGATTTTAGATGTTTTTATGACCATCACTCCATTTATTCACAAAAACATTCCGCAAAATTTTCATTAAAATTTACTTTTTTTTAGATTGATCCAGAGAATTCGAAGTCCTAAACTATGCATTTTTTAGCAAATGTTGGTACCCAAAATTGAAAAAGTCGCTATCTCGCCAATGCAACAAAATTAGCAAACAGAACAAATTGCAAGAAAGGTAATTGTTCAGATATAATCAGAGCATGGATTTCTAGAAGTGGGATAGTTCCACAAGTAACTCACTATGGTTACTTGAATATTCTGATTCTGATTAGTAGCGTTTCTTATTCCTACAATTACACCTTTGCTATTACTTCATTCGAATCCATCGATGCGTAAAAATTAAAAGTGAAAATGTATTATTTTTGCCCGTGTCTTATGCTCGATTACGCAATGACGGATTTAACGTACTACTAACAATAAATTGGTTAACTTGAAAAAACTGAATTAGCTGATACTGGAATGGATGATATATGTTTCTCAACTATTTTATGTGTGATTATTTTTCAAGCATTTTAGTACAATGAGAACTTTAAAATCAAAGGCAAGTATGTTTTTTATTTAGTTGTTCAGAAATAATTAGATAGACTTTTTGGGGATATAGGATGACCGCCTTCTTCAGAAGCTGATAGATTGGAATAAAAAAAATACTAAAAATTAATACATACATTCACCAAAAATTATCATTGATATTAAATTCAGTGGGTTGTGGTAAACGAATGCTACATGTGTATATAGTAATGAAATGCAACATGTATGAATATAACAGATAATTATAAAAATATTAATATTTGATCCCGGCTCACATTTTAAGGTCGCGTGATTTAAATAGCAAATAATTATCACCAACGATACTTGTTTAGAATTAACAGAAGTGTTAGACATTTAGCAACAGAAGTAATTTGTACCACATCAAGTAGAACGCATTTTATGCATCTGGATTTTGCAATAAACATCTAAAATAGGCGAAAAAATTCTTTTGGTATCCATTACACGGAAATCTAATCATGGGAAAAAATTTACATTATTTCTGTTGAATAATATTAGTTTTTATTATGTTTCATGCGTATAAATTATGTAATATACCGAGTTTGCTTGAGATTGGCATAAACAAATTGAGAGATCTACTTTAAAAAATAATTTATTTGTTATATGTTGAGGGTAAGTATCTATGACCACATAATCATGAAAATCCAGGTTTAAACTGTGTTATCAAGCAAAAGTGATATTCATTTTTAATTGATAATACAGAGTATATAAAGAAAAGTAGTGTTCCCATTCCTGCTCTACCGAAAACTCTATTGTTCTATCAAGATTCAATAAAATCTAAAAAAACAGCATTTAAATCCAAAAAACTGCCTGGCCGATCTTCACCAAAAATAAATCAGCATGATTACTAATTATCAAAATTGATTAAAGACCAAAATTGGTTTTACTGAAAGTTTTTTTTATACAATAAATTACAGTCTGTCATACTAGAACATTCAGTAATTGTTTTGACTATGGTATGGTTTTTTGTATGAATGGCAGCCCAGTAGTTGTCCATTCTATTTATGACTAATTAACTATACTCGAAGTATTTGTTGACATTTTATGACTACATATGCAGCTATACCCACAAGAGGCGATTTTTACTTGAGGATAGGGACTAGTTTTAGCCCAAGTCCGAACTGATTACGCTACCGCTGGCCCTAACTGAAAATTTTTTGGCGAAAACATAAATTTCTCCTTCGGAATAATAATAATAATAAATAGTAGTTTGCCCGGTGACAGGTCCATGGTATGAGAGCACGACAATATCAATAGTTTTTTTCCCGTCCCTTGTTTATTATTCTCATTACCGTTTTTTTACGATTAATTAATGACCATTAATCACTTGTTAACTAAATTTGTTGTTATGAATTTTTCTTTCCAAAATTGTTCTTCCTTGCTTTCTGGTTCTGTGCTTCAGCTTTCAGTTCTCTGCATTTCCTCTTCCTTTGTAAGTCATCAACCACGTGCATTTTTCTTCTTCCCAATCCTTTTAGTCCTTATATTTTGCCTTGGATGACGTCATTCTTTAGGCAAAATGGGTCCGATCTAGTTTCTTTTTCTTTTCAGGGTCGTGCTCAGTAGAGTCCTTTCTTTGCCCACTCTTTTCAGGTCTTCTTCATTTGTTAAATATTATTAATTAATAGCAAGCCAGTAAAAGAAATGCTACGAGGGTTTACAGCGTGTGTAAGTGACTGAATCCGAATCAGAGGTCCTGGGTTCGATCCCGCCTCAAGGAGCCTGATGTCAAGCAATTGGAAATATAGATAATATGCTCCCAAGTGTAAATAGCCCTCGTCCGACATTGCTGCATAAATAAAAATACTCGCCCTATTACAGAAATTGTAATATGGCGAAAACATAAAATTCTCCTTTGGGATGTTAATAATGAAATACCATTAACAGCAAGCAAGTGAAAGAGGGCCTACGAGGGTTTACTCGTGTGTAAGTGTTTAGAGTGACTGGATCTGAATCAGAGGTCCCGGGTTCGATCCCGCTTCGAGGAAAAATACTCGCTCTATTACAGAAATTGTAATAATAAAATTTATCACACCGTGATGAGACATCTGGTCTTGACTGAAAAGTTACTAGCGACAACGTGAATTTCTCATTCGGGATATTAATAATGAAATATTATTAATTGCAAGCAAGTGAAAGAAGTAATTAAAACAGTATTTATTGATCATGGAAAATTGTAAATGGTAAAATATATATTAAATTTATAATTAGCATTAATATAAATAATAATATAATTAGCACTGTTTTCATAGACAGTGTTAATTATAGTAACAGTTATAGTCAATTAATAATTAATGCAAATGTTCCGTTACATCTTTAATACTCATTGTCAATCGAAAATCGATAAACACCATAACCAAATACAAAACATGTTCAATTTCCATCAATTTTCTATCTAATTGCAACAATTTTCTACCTATTGCCTCCACTTGCACAAATTCTCTCGCTGGCATTTATTTGGTCGACGTTTCGGGCCTCCGAGCCCGCGCCACATCAGTCCGGCGTCAGTTGTTCGCCAGCGCTCGGACATGTCACACGTGTTTGCGTGACTCAAGAACAAAGTGAAAAACACGTGTTTTTGTACACTTTTTATTTACATACAATAAACTTTTTTTTTACTATTTTATTTAAAGGACTTGATACTTTTAAGTCTGAGTTTGACGTGTGCAATTTGATGATTTAATCTTGTTTAAAAAAAACAGTTCCTAACGGTGCTTCGTATGTTGTTTCAAAAACCTGCTGATGGTGACAAAGTTGAACTGATTGTTCGATGTGATTTGTTTAGAGACAATTGTGTTTTAATTGTGGTTATATAAAAGACATATTTAGTGATGACTGGTAAGATGATTGAAATTTTTGTGTAACACGTTAATTGCCACGATAGTAATAGAAAAATTTTCACATGGGCCATTAGTAACTTTATTAGATAATTTTAATTTAAATTATATCAAGGTAGCTTAAAGTACCAAAGAAAAAAATGCAGAAATTCCTGGAAAAATACTATTTTTATGCCACACATATATGACTGGCATTAGCCCTATATTAAAACTTTTTCTTATTCTATCAAAATAGGTTTGTCAGACATATATATCTGACATGGCTCATGTACAACTTCTGAGCGTCAGACTTATATGGCTGACAGGGCAATCAACGGTTTAATGCAATAATTGTATAACTTGCATGTTATGTAAATCACTATTTAAAAAAATATGAATGAACACTTTCCAAGCGTTAATCTAAAATAATTTACAATTATTTTCTTCAATTAATAGGATTATTATATTATGTTATTGTTCATTCAAAACAAAATGATTGAGGAATCAATTGAGAAAATATTTATAAAATGCATTGATCATCAAATATTATTAACTTCCCGTAGGGTAAGTTAAAGAAATCGCAAAAAGATGAAAATTTTTATATATCTTTACGTTTCAGAGGTTTCTGAACATTTTGGCATACCTTAGAAAAAATCGATGTATGTGTGTTTGTGTGTATGTGTGTGTGTGCGCGCGGATACAAATTTTCGTCGACGATTTTGGGAACACCGATCAACCGATTTGAATAATTTAAAAAAAAACATTCGATTCGTATTGATAAAGAGACGTGCTGATTAGTTTTTGGCGAAGGCAGGTTTAGCCGTTCAGAAGATACGGAACAAAAAGTGCCATAAACGGAATCTCAGTTTTTAAGAGAACGGAGCGTCCGATTTTAACAATTCAGAAATCATTTTGCTTGTATTGACAAGGTGAAGAACTAATTAAATTTTTGGGAAGGCAGGTTCAGCGGTTATGGACTCTCAATAAAATTAAGTTAAAGAAATGTCATTTGGTGGTCAAAAATGTTTATTGGACATATTTACATCAAATTATCAGATATTTTATAGAGATTTTAATAATGTGTACACATTTTGTGTAAATTTTTTTGGGTTTCATACCAAGATTTTTAATTACGGTACGAGAATTTCCAGCACGATGCCATGCACCCCACTAGTCTTTATTTCAATGAATTATTTTTTGGGTTCCGTACCAAGATTTTTAATTACGGTACGAGAAGTTCCAGCACGATGCCATGCACCCCACTAGTCTTCATTTCAATGAATTATTTAAACTCAAGATTAGTTTTTTTAGCAACCTATGTTATTTTCTTTAAATAAATCTATATATCTATTATATATATTTTGAGCTTTATTCTAAAAATTTTATTCATAAATTAAACAAAAAAACAACATGAAGAATTTTGTTGAAATATGAGAGAAGGATTATTCTTATCTTTGACTATAGTAATGGCTAGTAATGACCTAGGGCAGGTCCGTGAAGCTTAAACTTCAACTTGATTCAGGAAAGAATAGTATAGAAGATATCCCAAGTGGAAAACTAATTTTTGTATTACTGCATGATATCATATTGTCCATCATAAATCGTGCGCCTTGGAACATCTAAAGTGCGAAATTTCTTACCTTATTCTTCCCTGCATCGAGTTGGAGTTTAACCTAGCTCACGGATCTGCCCTAGGGTAGTACTATCCATATTTATTATCATTTACTATATTTAATAAATTATTATCCTATTAATTGATTATTATCCTTCTACTTACATATAATATATGATCATATAACATGCTAAAATAAGTTATTTCAATAACATGTTTTGCCTTATGAAGTAAATAACATGTTTGTGGCGAAAGCGTTGTTGATCTCATTAGTAAATTACCTCTGCATGGGGTAAATGATGATAATCATAGAGATCAGGGAGGATATTCATTAATTATGTATTGAATTTCTTATTATCCTCGTAATCTTGTTATATCATTATTTTTTATTGTATAAAAATACACAAAACTCAAGGACCTTCGAAATTACACCTACCTTAGGTATACTACTCGTATATAGAATTGTTTCTACTATCAATTTATTGGGTTTAACATGAAAAAAGAAAGTTGAAAATTTGCACTGTTCTTCCAATAAAACTTCTAATTTGCCACATATTAGTCATTTAGTAATTGGGATAATAATCTAAATGGAAAGGCTTTTAAAAGGTTTTCCTTTAGAAAATCTTATATTAATGCATAAAAAAATTAAAAATCATAATATATAAATATAATAAATAATATCAAACTTCGCAAAAATCAAACTTAAATCTAAGTGTAAAGGAGGCAATAGTAAAATTCAGTTAAAAAGTCCAGTTATCTGAAATATATACTGAAAATGAAAAATTTTATTGGATATTCAAAGAATGGAATGCACTAACAAAATACCATCTTAGCTATTTTGCTTGTGTCAATATTTTTTATACTATTTACAATAAAATATTTAAATTACTTCATCAATAGAATAAAAATATAATATATAATAAATATAAATATAATATAATAGGTAATGCATAAAGAGTATTTTTTATTATTTTTTACATCGTTAATTCTTCTATTCAAAAATATTAATCTTTATCGAATTTTGTTAGTAATTAATATTCATTGGGCTTCTAGAATTTAGAGTTTAAAAAATATTTTTAAAGAGTACTAATATTCTGATAAATTAGATTTTAAGAAAATATGAACTCCACATTTTACACATCCAATAAATTTTCTGCAAATACCATTGAATTACTATAATGAATACGACGTAAAGATTCTGAAGAATCAATAGATAATTAACCCTTTCCATTCGCGAATTCCGAAATTTATATGAACTTTGACGCCGGAGTGGCGGCATCTGAGTGGAAAGGGTTGAAATATTGAAAAATATTCAAGGCTCTTATAAACATATGTGCAGTAGGATAATTAAAACATTGGAAAATTTACACGGATCTTTTGAACCTAGGCGCAGTAGTGTAATCTAATCACCGAGGTCTATAGTTTTAATCTAAAAATAAGTTTATCGATTAGTTGGTTGATTGCTTGATAATTTTTTAGTCCTCTTGTAAGGGTGTGGTTGCTCATTATTTATAAAAATGGTATTCTAAATTGTAGTGGACTGTAACACTGAATTGTATTATAATTTGCATATGTTTTGTTTCAGTTTGTAAGTTTTTCTTTCACTTTTCATACTTGATTACTACACAATTACCAAACGTTATAACTTGCAACATTCGATCATGACTTAATAGGTATTTAAATGGTAATTTCTGTTCCTATTTTTAATCATATTATAGCGAACTTAGCGAGTATTTTAATATGTAAACTAGTGTGTTGTTGTGGTTTACTACGTCCATTTTAATTTTAATTTGAATTCGAATTGCGCATATTGTGATGATGTTCAACATAAACTGTCTGACGCTGGTTGTTCGAGAACAACACGTTCTACCTGTTGACCATCGATATCAGAACCGATGAGTCACGCACGCTTTCGAACGGGCTCCGCTAAAGGTATTTTAAATATTTTCTGTTTTGTTTGATATCGATTCCAAACACGTGATTTATATATATATATATATATATATATATATACAAGGTGTCCCAGAATTCAACGTCAAACTGAAACGGGGTGATAGTATTGATCATAACTGTCTTGGAAAAAAATTGATTTTTTTTATCTTATGTTATTCGGAAATTGTGAGCTTTTAAGTGCAATCTAAAGCTTTGGTGAAATTGTGATAGTATTTCAGTTATTGTGGTTAATTTTTATTACTTTTGTTCATTTTAACTGTGGAACCGTAACCGTGAATAAAATTACTAGGATCACAGTCAAACATAATTAAACAAGTGCCCTAAGTTTTCAAGAATTAAGACTTTTTGTTGAACTATGACCTTCAAATTTTTAAAATCGGTCGACTTTCAGAAGTACTCATTTCAACTGATTGTGACTAAAATGTATTATTCTTAGGTTTTTATTTTTCTTATTCGCAATATTTTATTATGAAGCTATCAAGGATTTTATCTTTATATTACACCCTGATTAAATGCGCCAACTTTTGATGAAACTTGGCAACATACTTTAGAAATATTTTTTTAAACAAGGGCTTCTCCAAGTCGACCAATTTCGACAACATAGAAGTATTGGTTTAACAAAAAGTCATAATTCTTGGAAACTTGTGGCAATTGTGTCATTATTTTTCACTGTGGTTCTAGAAATTCTGTTTACAGCTACGGTTCCAAAGTTTCTTTAAATGAATAAATGTAATAATTATTGACCACAATAACCGAAAAATAGACACAATTTCGCCAAAGCTCTTGGTTGTCTTTTTTCTCAGCATAGATACATAGTATCATTCCGGTTTGGTTTGACGTTGAGTTCTAGGACACCCTGTATATACAATATTTAATCAATGAATTTTTCAATATTCTTATTTCTCCAAATTAATAACATTGTATTGAAGAAATAAAAAAAAGTATTTACAAGCCAATGAGTAACCAAAGGTTTTTGGAGTCTCACCACCCGAGGGCATTCGAATTTTCTAGAATGTACTAGTATTCTTTTCTTTAATGCCATATTATTGATACTTGAGAAAAGGGTATATTAGTTTCCATGCTTGAAATGCCAACCAATGCTCATGAAAGTGGAATTGAAATAAATATAAATGTATAATAAAACATGAAAATATTCACCACCCAGCCACCCCCACCAAAAAAATATATAATTTATAATTTAATTATGAAACTTATTTTTGTAGTTCAATGATGTATTTCAGGATACTTCAAAAGCTTTTCAAGCTAAGGATAACATAATTCATTTAAAATTTGGCTTTATTCGATTTTGATAAATGACTGTCGACGTTTCGGAACTAGGTACGTTCCATATTCAGGGCATCTGTTAAGAAATATGATCTTGATAAGATTTGAGCAAACAATATGTTTAAGAAAAGCAAAAGATGATGGATTCATGTTTGTTGACGAATCCTGAACAC